TCTGGATCCGCCCCTGAAGTGTATAACGAATGGACCTTTCCGCTAAGCCCCGCCCATTGGATATTGTTGCTAAGGTACCACGAGACGACAGTGTTAAAACATACGCCAACACGTGCGTTTGTGGGACAACACGTGTGTTTGTAAGACGCGTGCGTATTCCTAGCGCTGTTCTGATTAGTCAGTTGATAAGTTTGATTGACACTCCGGAAAGGTCTATTACCTGTGAGATGTTAACACGATGCATTTGCCACTTTCTCTAACATGTGATAAGGTGTCCCATAACATTCGCCTGGCAACAGGGTCCATACCAGTTGTTGGCTCGTCAAGGAATACGATTGGTGGATCACCCATCAGTGAAATTGCTGTACTTAGTTTGCGTTTATTTCCTCCACTTTTAAATAAATAATAATAAAATCATTGTTATTAACAAAGAAAATGTGATTTTAATTTTCAATTCAATTAATAATTAAATATATTAATTACTGGATATTTGATTTAATAACAATTTTACCAATGCATTTTAATTAACCTATGTTTCCCATTTCATTAAATATCTTGCAGGTCTTAAGACTAATTTACAATGGTATGTGAAATTCTTTTAATTGTGATTAAATTGTGGACTTTGTACTTTACCCTGTCCATTATTAAATTGCATGTGAAAAATACATGTGGTATGCCCATATTTGGGTGTAATGTGACATCATCATGTATAGATATGGGCATATCACACACAAAATTTGCCACATAAAATTTCCAATAGTGCATTAATTAGGTCAGATATCGTGGCTTGGGCATATCATGTAATTGGTATAGACATTCTGTGTACGTAAAACAGCTTGAGTTACGCGTCAACAAGTTGTTTAAAGTGGTACCTATAGGCTCCTGCCATTTTATCAGCATGAGGTTCAATCGTCAGAGCTTTGAGAAGCCTATTAACTTCTCCGGGAATCAATTTCTCCGGCATTCCTCGAAGTCTTCCAAACATGGTTAATGTCTCACGACCTGTCATCTGATCTATAAGGGCGTCAAACTGGGGACAGTATCCTATTCTTTGCTGAACCTGAATTCGTGTGATTAAACACATTGATTGGTAATTTGCTATATGGTCATTTATAATTCAAATTTCATTGGTAAATTATTTGCCGATGTTATAAAAGAGTACTGCAAGAGGCCCGACTCTCGGGGTTTTGTTGAAACGTAATCCTATTTCAAAAAGTATTACCAAGAACTAGAGGGCGTCCTTCTATTCGAATTCCCTATCTCCTGGTAGTTCTTTTAACGTTTTTTGTGTGCATAGAAAATCAGGGCAGTCGGACCGCTTGAATTCTATACTCTTTCATGATATGGTTTACTGAATATAACATTATCTCTATTGGTTAGAGGAGGGGGATAGATTAGTTATTTTCATTATACTAAATATTAATTTATATCAGTAGCACTTATTGACGATGTTTATATTTACCTGCTTGATTTTCGATTTGATATCATATCCATCAAGGAACGCGTTACCGGACGAGATTGGAGTGTCACCTGTCAGCATCTTAAATGTTGTGGTCTTACCTGCTCCATTTACACCTGGAAATTAGCAATAAATATTATTGGTTTAACACGTTAGTTTACATCTGTGCATATACGTTATTATTTAGATGTATGTTACGAGATAAAGAATCACAGGGATGGTTGAAGGAAGATTATTCCACCAACAAAAAATGGGCGTAAATAAAATAACGTTTGAATAGATAAAATAGGAACGCAATTGTACCTAGAAGTCCAAAGCATTCTCCAAGGGGAATCCCCACGCTTATGTCATTGACAGCAACCAAACCCTTTGCGCCCCTCAATGTGTATATTTTCCTGAGATCTTTGATGATGAGGGCGTCAGACTGAAAAAGGTTATCCATTAATGTCGTAGAGATTCGTTGGCGCTCTGCAGCCACATCATCATCTTCCTGAAGTAAACAAGAAAGAAAAAATCCGTATGAATATTTTCAGATAATTGTTGAAAATACAGTTTTAAGGTACACGGTTTTATTCAACTTAATTAATTTTACAAGGCTGCCCGATCTAGCAGTCGACCAATTGAGTCAGATATCTAACCTTCACTTCCGATGTGTCCTTAATTATCTGCTTGTGTTCAGATCGCTTTGATTTAAGAGAATAACAGAGTTTTCGAAGAATTTTAGAGTCGAGCATAAATACGAGACCAAGATAAACAACCCCTTCCCATGCTAAAAACGTCAAGTACCGGCCAATACCTCCTTCTCCCCAAGCAATATAATTCTTCTGATAAGCCACATCTGAAACATAACAGTCATGGAAGAAAGCAAATGTTGGTCATGTTATATCAAATAGAAGCTAATTCAAATATTGATTTATTCGATTCTGTATAGTAATTTTAAAGAATTGTAAGTTGGAATGTTGCTAACCTTCACTCTGACAAAATAGTTCACTAATATCACCAAGCGAGCTACAAATTGTCTCTGTCTGGTAGTTGTTGTAGAAAATGTCAAATCCTCTAGCTAGATTGTAAGGCGGAGATAGCATAAAGATCCAATCACATATTCTTGCAGCATTTCCAAAATCAAATGCGTCAAAACTTAGAAAGTTTTGAATAAAGTAAGGGAGTAGGCCAAGCAAGAAGTTTAGAATCACAATGCGAACGTACCCTGTTGCGGGAACGTCAAATAGAAATGACAGAAGGTATGTTACTGGAATGACAGCCCATCCATGAAGGTAGAGTAAGAGAAGAATTTCCCATATGTGGCCATCGTTCGCATAGGCTTCGATACTGCATGCTACAAATAGGATACAAATACAAATACAGGGAATCATGTAATTAATAATATCCCAAAGATAGGTGGAGAACCAGAAGTTTGACATCCGCACACCACTGACAAACTGGAGATGTTTCGATTTTACAGAACTTTCTTTGATAAGGAATACTGCGAAACTACTGGAAAGAAAAGCCATTCCAAAACTGATGGCAAAGGCAACGGCGTAGCCAGTACCAAATGAGTTAGATTGGTCTGCAGCCTGTCTTTCTAGATTCCTTGGAAGTGGAAAGTTCATGGTAGAGATGTGGTAACTTCCATTTGTCATGCATTTCATGAAAGCATTATCGATGGCATTCAGAGTCAGTGGAGGGACGTGTAGTGGTTGGTTGTTAAAAAAGGCTCTTGCCAGAACGTTGCCATTGTCCTCGGGCAAGAATTCAGCAGCTATCAGATTATTTCTGTCAAATATCGGCTGCTGACCTTCCTGTATATCCAAAAGATATGATCGCATATCTTGGGGTTTGTTTTGATGGTTGATGTTCACAAATTCACTGCTTTCTGAATCATTGAATTGGTGTCCATAACAACTGGTGAGCATGTTAGACAGTAAGTTAGATGAGTAGTTACCGCTCGATGCTTGTGTCACAACCTTAGACTCGTACTTATCTATTGATATCTCTAAAGCAGGAGAATCTTCGATTCCAGGGATTGTTTTGATGATCACTATGGCCAAGGCAGCGAAAATCAGAGGAATTGAAAGTTGAATCAATCCCACAATCCAATTTCGGTATGTGTGCAACACGTGCTTAATAAACATGGCGTAAAATTGCTGACCATATAACGTCATTCCTGTATTCTGCTGCTTTGAATCGTATACATTCTCGAAGAGGTTTTCTGGTGAAACAAGAATAAATAATGGTTATAACAACGATATCATTGTTCACAAAAAAAACAAAACTCTACGTATTTTTGTATTAGTGGCACTACACTTCACATAAATCCACACACAAATTGTAACACTAGTCTACCCAACAGCAGGTTGGCCTTTAGGCTGAGTTCCAGTCCTTACACTTTAATCAGTTAAAATGCTTGAAAAATATCTATTTAGCCACCAATGGCGTTCCATATTACTTATTAGCTTGGCGTTCCATGGTATACTTATTTAAAAAAATTCAACAACAAAAAGTTTCTGGATATAACCAGACGCTGGCGGCGCTCTTTGAAAGTATCTAATAGAGTTGTTGTATCATTTCTTTTTCGGAGTTCGTTTCATACTAGCTTATAATAGAGTTCAAATATAGAGAACTAACACACTAGGGAAAACCAATAATTAGAGACTTGTGGCAAGTCTAGTTGGCCTTTTGATAAGCTGGTAGAATTGTGTTGTTGTCTTTTGCTTGTTTTATAAAACCCTGCGCAGAATATTAAATTTTATTGGACAAAAACATGTGACATGCCTAAATATTATGGTCATGATGATATTACATCATGACCATATATAGACATATTATGGCTATAAACAGGTATACACCAGAAAATTTGAAAAAAACTGGACAGAACTTCAGAATATGTTATTAGTACATAGTGAATCTTTGATACACTACTTTTTAGTAACATTATTCTTTCTATAATCGCTTTGTGACCACGTTTATTGTGCAGGGCACTTTACAATTACGAGACGAGTATCTTACCGCTACAAAATCGTAGCATAGTAAACATTAACCGTACATTAATAATGTTTATCATTTAGTTAAAATACAATTTGACTGTTAAAAATTCATATTATTAATTTCATGTTACCAGTAGATTCCGCTACGTCGACACGTGTGTCGTTGGATTTATTTATTTCGTCATCTCCAACCATTGCTCCGTAGGTTTTCACCGGTTGTTGACTTAGACTGCTCTCCAGAATCTCATCTACATGTCCATTTATCTTCGTGTCCTCCTTCGTGTCCATAGCTAACATGCTGTGGTTTGCTGTACCATTCGATTTTATGACAGCTGGACCTAAATTTTGCAGTTTGTCTTTTAACGTATCATCTGTAGATTCTCCAACCCTAAATATTTAAAAATACAAAAACACGCTTTGATAATATTATTAGGCTGTACCAACAAAACCTATTATATAGCAATATTATTTTATGACTATTGTCTTAGACTCATGTACTATTAGCATAATATGGTAATGAAGGCTACAAATTCAAGAATATTCATTAAGATAATTATGACGTTATCTACGACGTACCTATCATTTACTATTCGGGATTTTCGTCCCAAATAGTAAAGTTATTCAGAAAATTAATACAAAATGATGCAGAAAGTAATTGATGTTCTGGTATACAAATTTCAAGGTTTGGTATACAAATTGTGATAGTTATTTAAATAACTAGAGCGAATTATTTTCACGATTGGTGGATGAAAAGGTTTATACTGACAGAAATATTTCCTAAGTTTCACTCATTTAAATTGTCATCTGAGGGTCTTTATATACCGATTTTCAGTTATTTTTGTCTGATAACAAATTAAGCTCTGGAAGACAGGTTGCCATTTAGGCATATGTTTGTGACAGTTTACCCGTGGAGGAAATTTTCTCTTGATTTATCGTTTCGGTTAAAATTAAAATAAAAAAAATCAAAATATATTATTTTGTTGTGTTTATAGAAGTGGTTCGCGGACGCAGTTGAATGCATTATGTAGTATATTTGAAAAGGTCGCGAATTATCCTTGTTCAAAATTATTTGAGGGGCTTAAAAGCATATTGCTTTGCCTCAATCTCCCTGGAAGTCGATAGCATTACTGCTGAAGAACACTTCGAGGGACATCAGTAAACAAGTAAGCACCAAAAATATACCCGTCTCTCAGCACACTTTTTAAAAATTGCTCAGAATCGTTTATTGCATATCCATGTCGATTTTAAGCGTTTCTTGTTGCATTTTGTTAATGCAGTGTACTCATATTCTATATGCAACTTTAAAGTACAGGACGGTCATAACGGATTCGTGAGCAGATACACTGTGAAGATTTTGCAAATTTACGAAAACGATAACTAATACGAATGCGTCATTATCATTATCGTAATTCGTCCCTTAAACATTCTTGACACAATGCTGTACTATATGAATATTGATGACGTAACCGTATTCATTATCGTTTTTGTAAGTTTGCAAAAACTCCCTATTGTTGCAATTATTCCTCAAATTAAACGAAAACAAATGGCGTGTGGATCAGTTTTGTTGCCTATTAGCAAAGATACTAGAAATACAAGATAGAGCACTTGCATAGCAAAAATGAGGCGGAAATTGGTCCAGACGTAGGCGGCGCCCTTCCCTTTTTATAATACTAGTTTTTTTATACTTGGTCTAGACGTACAGGGCGCCCTTCTATTGCTAGGTACAGAGCCATAGATAGGTATAGAGTTCCTAGCTAGGTATAACTAGACGCACGCGACGCCTTTCTTTTTCCACTAATGGCGGAGTCCGGTCATACGAATCTGCGCTTTTGTGTCTGTCATTTTTATTGTTTTGATTTATTTATACGTACTTGTTTGTGTCTTATGGATAATGGCAACGATTTCAACCTCCAAAAAAGGAGGATATGTTTTCACAGTTATGTAACGGTGGCAGAAGTTTTTTAGATCCAGCCGTACGCGGCGCCCCATTGTTTGTATTCCCACCATGCATTTCGGTGAAAAGGTTTTGTTTTTGTGGAGAACTAGCGTTTCTAGTATCTTTGCTATTAGAAAGATAGGCTAAAGCGCTATCCACAAGCAATGTGATATCATATTTAGGTGTCACCATCATGCCCATACTTGGGCACATCACACAAACTTGTTATATAAAAGTTGACAGCGTGAACAGAGCTTAACA